CCAAAGCAGCCGGGCAGCCATTAATTTTGAAATTCGGGTAATTTATTAGCACTTATCTGACACTCTAAGAGCTTACCTCTGTGTTTGTAATACGGAGAAAAGTGAAAGCAGTTTTAAAACTGATTCCTAATGATTTATAATGGTTTGCTGTAATTTGAGCCAGAAATTCAATTAAAATGTATGTCTAGTTTTGTTTCAAGATCTTTAGTTAAAAATTCTATTAAAATTCTATTTCCTTCTTGCATTAAATGTATCTGTTATCTGCATATACAAGAAATATAAGAAAATTCTATCATTTATTTCCCAGTCCCCATAAATGCTTTTAAAAGCATTCATTTTTATTTCATAATTCTCCCGTGGTAGTCTCTGCAGTTTATGTACAGTGGAGGAAAAAGTACCACGTGTGCCATTTTCTTGCTCAGGAAAGACACCCAACACGGATTACCTTAGGGAGAAGCCAACTTAGAGATGGCTCTTCATCAAACTGCTGAAAAGGAGGACAATGAAAAGACATGTGTGACTTCAAATCGTTAACTTAATGGGATGCCTCTGGGGTCATTAAAAACATAAACATTCCGGAAAAAGGGGCAGAGGTTGGGCACGATGTGGGAAGCCGAAGTCTCCAATACCCCATGAAACAATGCAAACAGATTAAAACTTGGAAGGCATTGTTCTGGGTATGAAATTGCTTATTTTTTGGAAACACAATGAGATTGATGAGTTAGTTGCAGAAGAATCCAGTTGATTCTTGCTTTGTGTTTTCTTAAACTATGGTAAATCTTCCAGTAATTATGAAATGCAATCATTAAAATGCCTGTTTTTATTTCTTATTTGGCCAGAAGAAGGTATGATCTGAAATGGTAACAAAGTTAATAATTTATTCAACTTATTGATAACTGTGTGAATTTTTGAATATTTTAATCTTCTCAATAGTGTGTGCATTAGACACAGATATTATTCTTGTCCATGTTTTGCTGGAGTGGTGATGGGGGCACAAAGTTTCATAAAGTCAGTAAGTGGGAAAATCACGCAATTTAGGTGTGTTGTTTGTGACTGATCTACTTTTCAGTTGGATCACATGGTGGGGTGAGAGGTGTGTAGGGGTGACAGTTACCTCATAAAGCCCATGGCAGCCAAGATGATTAATACTGGGGAGAAGCAGAGGAATGCTCTCCTCAGTGTATCTCTTGTGCTTGAAAGTTACAGGGCGTGGCCCTGCTTGTCTTCTTTCTGGTAGTGAACCTGCAGCCTGAGCAGGATCCAGGAGGATGAAGAGCTGAATGTCCCGAAGACATCTGAACACCAAAAGAAACAAGTGAAAATCCAGCCACCCAATGAAAGGAGCAGAGAGAGAAAGAGAAAGCAAAAGAGCAGAGAGAGCTGGCAAGCTAAGCTAGAGACAGAGGAGTAGGAAGGCGGAAAGTCTAGGGGGAGTCCCTACCTGCAGAGCTTCCAAGAGTGCTGGGAAGTTCTCTTGTGTGCATAAACTGTGGTCATACAAAGGGACAGACCCCAGGAAGTCACGTTCTTTTATTTGCCCGCCTTCTTAGCCGGAACCCACTGAGGTTTCCCATTAGCAGAATCCACTGAGATTCTGTTTTGCTCTCCCAGTGTCTGACAATATCAGGAGACCTGCACACTGCTCTAGGAACTGAGTTGGGATGACCAGTGTCTGGAAAGTTCTATTGGATGAGCTTTGTTGATAAAAAATGGAATTCAGGCTGGGGGCCAGAGCTGCAGGGCAGGCAGGAGCCAAGGGAAACATACTTTGGAAAGAGTTGGTGGGCAATTACATTTTAGTTGGGTGGTATGTCGGTGGAAGAACTTTTATGCTTCAAAAATCCATTTTCTAGGTGGACATGAATGTGAATAGCTTTGAATAAAATTATCTAAAGCAGGGCTGTGAGCAGAGGAATGGTCAAGGATAGGTAGCAGTAAGGAGAGTATGTGCTGAAAATTCAGAAATTCCAATATATCTCAGCTGTTAGGATGGTCTCCCAATAAAGGGGAGAAAAGCCCAGAGACACAGAACCGTGTTGGGAGCTGTAGAGACCCGCAGAGGTTTCCTAGTGAGAACTTACTCAGGGTCTGAGAATTTCAGCTTGCTTTACCCAGCAGGACTGCATAAGGGGATGATTTGCCCACGGGTGTGGTTACCAGGTGTTTGGAAGGATCTACACTTGGCTGTGCAGTGTGCTTTGGTCTAGCAAGGGGAAGGTCTTTTGCCTGCCCCTTGGCAATGTTATAAAAAGTCCTTTTGAAGAGGCAGGAGGGACCATTGGGTTTTGATCCAGGTCCTTCTGAAGCTAGCTGGTGTTTCTGTCTTTCTCCTCTTTACTGTCTTTCTATTTAAAATTTTCTTATCCCCCTCTCCTCCTCATAGGAACCCTTTTAAAAGATGGGAGCTGGCATTCAGAGAGGAGTGTTGCCTTGGACTGTCTAGGCAGTTTCTTGGCCATTCACCCACTTCCTGTCATAGGTGGACCCACCTACAACCTCTGTGTTTGTCATTGAAAGCTTTGTGTAGGGGGCTGGAGAGACAGCTCAGCAGTTAAGAGTACCGTCCACTTTGTAGAGGACCACTAAGCTTCCTCTATGGCAGCTCACAAAAACTGTCACCCCATTCCCCAGATACTCAATGCCCTGTTCTGGCCTCCTCAGACCCTGCACACATATGGTACATGCATGCAAAATGCTCACACACTTAATATTAAAAAATAAAAATAAAATATTTTATAAGCTTTTCATGGGCTTAACTGGTTACCCAGAATGGCATTTTGATATCATCACAGTCTCTAGCTTTAAGAGTCTCAGTATATATATGCCACCTTTAAAAAAATAAACATTCTATACTTAGGGGGAAGCAGCACTGGGAATTTCTAAATTTCTGGAGATGTGAGTCCAGGCTCTCAGTTAATTATTCAGTCATGTTACTGATGAGAGGAATGTCTGGGGGCTCCTTGTTAGATTATACACTTGCCTATCTTCAGTAGGAGAAAACTGGATAAGAAACTTCTGGACGCATGCTCATTTCTCATTCTAAATTCTGAAGTCCAAAAGACTGTGTGGTTTATTTTGACTGAGTCATGAACCCCTTCCCCTGCTGAAAGCAGAGTTAGCTCCCAGCACAAACGTGCTGTTATCTGCCTCTCTAAGTTCCATGTTGTAGCTGCGACAAGCGTCTGTCTGGAGAAATGGAGGCTACAGAAGACTCTCACAGGTAACCAAGGTTTAGAACAGATGGGAGCAAAAGAAAAGGCTGCCACGCTACCTGTTCCCCCAATCTTTCCTCTCTGGCCTCAGAATAAAATGAAAATTCATATACGAGAAGCACAGAGCTTTCTGAGCACTTAGCCTTTTTGTTTGTAAGAAATTGTCTCTGTTAATTAAATTTCTTCCTATAGCCTCAAAACAAAGGTACTTTTTATGCAAAGCAGATAGCCTATAAAAATAACTCTAAAGGCTGTTTGTGGAAGGGTGTGGCTAACAAAAGGTTTCCAGAGCCAGGGTTACATTCCCAAGGGTTACCTGGGTGAGACAAAAACCAGAAGACCTTGAAATGAAGGGACTGATGATTAATGAATGTTGAAAAATGTCACAGTGGATAACTGGGACAGAGGATGAGATAATTTGATTCTCCTTACAAACGTCTAATAGACATTAAGGTCCTGTGATCGTGAGGAATGGCACAGGATGACTCACACACACTGAGAAACAGTTAAGGGGTTTGGGATGCAAGAAATTTGAAACAATTTGCTAAAATTAAAAACGACTTATCCAGGATTCAGTGTCATAACAGCAAAGAAATGCATGCATACTTACAGGCCACTTTAGTTTCTGTTTGCTTTTGAAATTCAACAGTTTTACTTCAGAACAGTGCCCTATTCTTTCCCCACCAAACTTCTTGAAAAGGATGTTTTTATACTGGTTATTTCTGTTCTCTCCACATCACATCTCCACAACAATCTGTTTATGCTTTCTGTTCTCCCCCCTCTTAGTTACTCATCGTCCGGACTTGCAGCGAGGTGGCCTCTTTCCCGGGTTCCTTGAGACACGTCTTTCTGCTAACTCCCACCACTTTCCACTTTGGTTAGCTTTGAACCTCATTCTCCCATTTGTCCTTGAGCTGCCTTTCCTCATGCTTCCCCCTCAGTTTGGTTGTGACTTTTTAGGATCCTGATCTTGATCCACATCCAGGACTGGAACCCAGGCCTCCTGATCTTGAATTGGGGTTTTTCCAGACTGCCATCTTGTCCCATTCTAGAGCTAAGGCTAGAAGGTTTCTGAAGTATGTTCTGTTTTCTTTTTTAACGTATAGTGGTCTGATGAGTGCCTTTTCCAACCAAATACATGTGCTCTAGAACTATCATGAAAAGAACTAGAAAGTCTAAGAGAATTCAACATAAATTCACTTTATTATTCCAACCTACTCCTTTGTTCACAAAAGCACTTGTTTTATTGACACCAAAGTACACACTCTGCTATTACACACACACACACACACACACACACACACACACACACACACACACACACACACACACAATTACCCTCAAATATTTTAGTTTCCTGACTATTGCTTTCTCAGGGGCTGTTTTTGAGACACAGTCTCCTTATGAAATACAGGTCTGGACTTTGAACTTGAGGCTACCACCTCAGCTTCCTGATTGCTAGGACTCAGGTTTGTGTCTCTGTACCCAATCTTCAAGAGTTTTGAGCTTAAGAAATTCGAATTTGGTATGAGAAAACTAAATGAAATAAAATGAACATTCTTTTGTAAATGCAAAGAAATTTCCTAAATCCTTCTTACCCCTCATTGTGTGGTTTGTGGCCATCTTACTGGATCACAGTGCCTATGTATGTGTAAGTATCTTTGACATCAACAATTTCTCATTTGCTTATTATTCCTTTATTTTCATGTTAGTAATTTGTCCATTCACGTTCCCTTCCGATAGGCTTGCAGTGATTTCTCCACTGACTTTTGTACTCGTTTTCGATAGACTCCAGGGAGCTGCTCAGTTTCCACCGACCTGACACAAGCTGAGTCACCTTCGGGAGAGGAGCCCTCAAGAGGAACTGCTGGCGTCCAGGCAGCCCTTTTGCACATCTGTAGGCATCTTCTCTGTTAATGATTGATATAGGAAGGCCCCCTTCACTGTGGGTGATGCTGCCTATGGGCTGTTGGTTCTGGATGGTATAAGAAAGTCGAGGAGCCCTGGACAAGCCAGGGAGCAGCTCTCCTCCATGGGCTCTGCTTCAGTTCCGGCCTCCAGGTTCCTGCCTTGACTTTCCTCTAGAAATGTGTAAGGTGAAATAGTCCCCTTCCTTCCCAAGCTGCTTTTGGTCAGTGTTTTATCACAGTGATAGAAAGCACATTGGGACAGCAGGTATCAACCCTATCGCCTTGGTTGCAAATTTTTTGTTACTTTAATTTTGGTAAATCTTCAAACCTTTCAACTTAATATTTTATAACTATATCTGTCATAATCTTTTTTTTAGATTGCCCATCATTTTAAAGTTTATGAAAATCTTTCTACCTCTAATAACTTAATACACATTTGTTCATAATTTCTTGCCATATTTTGTTCTTATTTTTAATTTAACTCACCTGAGCCAGATGCAATGTGGGTGCTGAGGATCTGAACTCAGATCCTCATGCTTTTGTGGCACGTAGTTTACTGAATACGATATCTTCCTATCCCAGAACTAAACATTCTTTCTATTACTTTGTCTATTTAGTTTTATAATATCCTTAATTGTTGCAACTTGGCAATGTTTTGAGCTCTGGGTGGATATTGTAGTTTTAAAGTCCCTTTCGTCACCAACATTGACTGTAATTGTGACAGCAGCAAGAGGTGGGGTGTCTTGGAGAGTTAGAGCACATGGGTTCTGCTATTAATGCCAATACAGTCTAAGGGATTAATTAGCCTGGGAGCTAGACTCTCGAAAAAACGACAAATTCAGACTGATTTTCCTCTGTCTTCCAGGATTTACCTTCTACCATGTTATGAAGCAACATGAAAGAATTCAGGAAGTGCTTTGCTCTTGGACTCCACAACTGTACGCCAAACAAACTATTGTTTATATGGCTTATGTCATTTAATGTTATACACCCAATGGTTGGAGAACACTCCAGACTTTCTTTCCTGCTAGGACTGAGCAGTGTATATGTGTTACATTTTGCTTATCCTTGATGGACACCTTGATAACTTTATCCTCTGTGAATAATGCTTTTATGAACACGGGTATATAGATGCCTTTTTAAGAACTTAGAATTCTTTTGGGTAAATAGAGAAATTGGAACGACACATTTCCTGGATCTTATGGTAATCTTCTTTTTAACTGATTGAGAAATCACTATTTTCTACAGTGGCCATACCATTCAGATTCCTATCAGCATTACACAGTTCATGATTTCACTACGCTCTCTTCAACATTTATGATTGTGTTGACTTATTTTTTTATAGCAACCATTACCAAAGTTTCAAAGTGATAATTCATTATAGTTTGGATTTGCATTTTCTTAATTATTAATAATGTTGAAAATATTTTTATGGACCTATTGGTCATATGTATATCTTCTTTAGGGACAAATCTGTTCAACTCCTTTGCTCATAGAAGGCTTTGTTTTGAAAAATTACAATAGTTCCTCTTTTCATGTTTTTCACAAACTCAGCTTCAATTTATAATTGATTTCTACTTTCTCTATGAAGCCCTTTCTGGCTTTCCTAGGTAGAATTAGTGACTTCCTTTTTGTGTGTTTCATCTACATCTTAACCTCTTAAAATATTTATGGCGGTACATACTAATTATCCAATTAAACAAATGTATTTCTTCCCTCCAGCACACAGGATCAATGACTATGCCTTATTAATTTTTACACACATAATACTAATCACCATATTTGGCACATAGTAGGTATCCAATGAATGCCTGTTGATTAATGATTAAGTCAATATTATCTACTTGTACAATAAAATGCTGAACTTTATGGATAATTATATATTTAAAACATGGCTTATTAGGAAGTTAATAAATTATTTTTATTAAAAGTACCCTATTGGTTTTTTCCTACCAAAAATAAGTGTTAATTTGTAACTCTGGAGGAACACTAAAATCATTTCATTTCGTGGTTTACTTTCAGAGATGCCGGGTGAGGTCTTGGAACTGTGTTTTCTAATGGCCCTCCAGGTAATTCTAATATGTGGCCAAGGTGAAAACCGTGAAGAATCACTAAAAACTGTGTGATTACAAAGTCTGTTGCTGTCTTCCACATTTGTGGAGCTGAGTCACCCAAGTGTCACAGACAGCACATGCATGAAAATTAGTTTATAACTTGCCTTTCTTAGCTTCCTTAAAATAAACGTTCTTAGCTTCCTTAAAATAACACCTTTTTTTCCTATACCTTGTATTTCTTATAATTAATTGTTTTACAATGTAGTTAATAGGCCGACAATGTGAATGTACCCCTTCTTGCCCCTGATTTTTAAAAGCAGAGGTAAGATAGACTTATTAAGGAACAGTTGTTGCCACATGGCTGTCCAGTAGCCAAACAAGAGGTTTAGTCATTCCTTACATCCTATGTAATCTGTGTGCTGCGTGATCACGGAATCTATGTGCGTGCGTGGCATAGCTGTGTAAGTCCACACTCGCATGTGCGGGGGAATCCCTGAAAAGCAGGTCACAGACTCCTCCTGTTTCCTCTTCTTCCTCTCTCTCCCTGCACAATCTCCATAGGCCTAAGCACGTCTTTCCTTAATAAACTCTCATAGTGGGCTTTGTTTTACCTCCTGGCTTTTCTCACACGGCAAACAACACTGCTTAATGAATAACATCGCGCCATATAAAACTAACAATAGTGAGAACAGTAACTCCCAAGAGTGGGAGAGTCTCCAAAGTAGGAATATTATATCCTCTTAAAAAAGTAGCTTGAGGGGCCTGGAGAGATGGCTTGATGTTTAAGAGCACTGGCTCCTCTTCCAGAGGACCTGGGTTTGATTCCCAGCACCCACGTGTGCTCACAAGCCTCTGTAACTCCAGTTAGGATCTGATGTCTCTTCTCGTCTGCATGGGCCCTGTAGACATTCAGTGCGTAGGCGTACGTGCAGACAAAACACCCATACCCATAAAATAATAGAATAAAAGTACGAACATTAACATTTTGAATTTGAGAGCACTTCAGGGCCCGAGCACCTAGTCATCTTTGAATTCATGGAGTAGATGAGAAGCATGGCATACGCCTAAGGCTGAGCTATCTCCACCCAGAACGTCATCAAAGTTTGTGACGAAGTGTTGGCAATGCTTTGCCTGGTAGATGTGGATTTCGTAAATACTGATGGCTCTGCTTTTTTTGTTGTTATTTCTGGGTTCTATCTTTGGCATTCCTTTAATGTGCATTTTTTTTGACAAATTAGAGAGGAGAGAGCTAAGATGCAGAACTTATGTGTCTGAACAGCTGTGGCTGTTCAGAGCAATTCACTGCGTCAGGCGGAGGTCAGATGGATGGGGATGTCATTACTAAACGGTAACATTTTTCAGGGCTTTAAAGAAATCCAAGTCCGTTTTAAATCTACACTTACTTTTTTTTTTTATTTTTGTTTCTGGGGTGAAAGGTTGCACTCCAAGTTCTTGTCAGAGATTTTTACTTTAAAATGACTCCAAATTTAGCTTCTCTAGAAATCAACTTCTCAAGCAGTATTTTAAAGTTAACATCCATAGACTATGTAGAGCTCTATTTGAGACACAGATTTCTTTCTCAGTAGGACGTGTTTCTTTTGTAAGAATGATGTGATGCACACTTAGAGTTCTCTTTGATACATTAACAAAAACACTAAAGATTATTTTGTACTTTCCAATTCCACGACCTGTGCTATAGGGGTCAACTCAACCTTACTATGACTCATTAATTTCAAACACTATCATATTTGGATATATGGGATGCATCTGCATCTATTTTGAAGTTGACAAAAATTCACATCAACATGAATCGGTTTTGGCCACCACAATGACAAGCTGATAATTAGGAGGTGATTTGGGCTGTAAAGCACATTATGGTAATATCCAGCTAGTGGCAACATTTATGGCATGGAGTTAGCAAGAGCGAATGGGGGCAAGACTGGGTTACGGGGGAAGCGTTTGTGCATTCTGTCACATTGCACCTATAAAGAACCGTGTGAAACACAAACAAGAGGATGCAAGTTCTCTGCTTATTACTTATCCATGCTCTAAAAGTGGACAGAAATCTAGCCAAGTAGTGGATAATCAAAACGGAGAACATCTTTAAATTGGTTTTGCTGGCCGTTGTCGGCGCCTCATACATGCTTATTTTCAGCCGTCAGCATTTCCAACATTCTAACGCTTTGCTGGAGTACTACTTTTGAAGGCAGTGGTGTCAGCTCAACTCACTTGCAGCCAAGGCCTGGAATGGCTCTGAACTAGCTCTATTTAGGCCAATAACACATCCAATCACGAATAGAAATTGATGGATAACCTACTTCCTGTTTCCACATGTGGGGAACTCCCAAGTGGGTATCCCCACTTCCCAGACTACTGTTGTGGAATATTAATTTAAGATGTGTTACCTGTGGAATATTTTGTTTAATGATGCAGAGATGTGTTCTTTTATGCTGCATTTGTTTAACTCTGTAAAGCTGTGTTACTTTGCCTGCCTAAAACACCCGATTGGTTTAATAAAGAGCTGAACAACCAATAGCTAAGCAGGAGAGAGAACTAGGTGGGGCTGGTAGGTAGAGAGAATAAATAGGAGGAAAAATCTAGGGAGTCAGAGGAGAGAGAGAAGAAGGGGAGGAGGACTCTGGGAGCGAGCTATGGATTGAGTAAGGAGAAAAGAAAGATATATAGAATAAAGAAAGGTAAAAAGCCCAGAGGCAAAACATGTAGTGAAAGAGAAATGAAATAATTTAAGTTAGAAGAGCTGGCTAGAAACAAGCCAAGCTAAGGCTAGGCCTCTGTAAGTAAGAATAAGTCTCTGTGTATTTATTTGGGAGCTGGGTGGTGGGCCTCAAAGAGTTAAAGAGGAAAGCAACTATGGACTACCCCTGGGTTATCTCCATCCTGGGGAGGGACTGGTTGGTTGGCTTAGTAGTACTCCTCATCTCTTTGTCACTTTCTTGCTCTCCTATCAGGGTCTCCTCACCTCACAAACTGGAAAACAAATGCTTGTCTTAGAGTCCACTTACAGGGAGCTCCAACTGTGATAAAAATGGTGTGTTCTCTTTATTTTTAATTTTAAAAAGGAAAGTTTATGAGAACTTACATGAAACCCACTGGCAAAGCAGTACCTCCTGGAACTCTGTGTTTTTAGTTTTGAATCATGTGCATTACCACCCTGAGTCACTGTTTTTTCATTTATAAAATTAATGATGGAGCAAACAACTCCATTCTAAAACTGTATTGTTTTAGGACATGAATTTTGGATTCTTTTACTCTTTTTTTTTTTTTTTAATTTATTTTAATTTATTTTGCAATACAATTCAGTTCTACATATCGGTCACGGATTCCCTTGTTCTCCCCCCTCCCGTCCCCCTCACCTTCCCCCCAACGCCCCCCCCCCCCATTCCCATCTCCTCCAGGGCAAAGCCTTCCCCACAGACTGAGGTCAACCTGGTAGACTCAGTTCAGGTAGGTCTAGTCCCCTCCTCCCAGGCCAAGCCAAACAATCCTGCATAGGCCCGAGGTTTCAAACAGCCAACTCATGCAATGAGCACAAGATCTGGTCCCACTGCCTGGATGCCGCCCAAAAAGATCAAGCCAATCAACTGTCTCACCCATTCGGAGGGCCTGATCCAGTGTGGACCCCTCAGCCATTGGTTCATAGTTCATGTGTTTCCATTCATTTGGCTATTTGTCCCTGTGCTTTATCCAACCTTGGTCTCAACAATTCTCACTCATATAAACCCTCCTCATTCTCGTTGATTGGACTCCCAGAGATCCACCCAGGGCCTAGTCATGGATCTCTGCATCCAGATCCCTCAGTAGTTGGATGAGGATTCTTTTACTCTTACCTTGTGCTGTTTCAGCATTTTTTTTTTTTTTTTACTGAGTGTTGCCATTCACTTTCAGGGTCCTCTTTTGTAATATAAGGAGAGTTTCCAAAAAAGTCTTCTGAATGACTTGTACAACCTTGGTTCACTATCCTTAGCTCAGGCTCTGGGTACCATTTTTCCTACTACCTACCTTCCTCAATGGTTGGTAGTTACAGCCTTAGCTATAAGGCATCCACATTTTCAATAGAACCCATTTCTTCTTCCTTCCCAGTTCCATCTTGATGTAATTGAATTTGTTGCTCAATGGGGCTCCCATAATTGCTACCTACATGAGGTGTAGGCACTTGTGCCTCTACATGACTTTCCTTGTACAGTTTAATAAAAAGAGATTTCATACCATACTGAGTAGATACTCATTGCACAGAGGGACTTTTTAACTTTTTAGGTGGTTGGAATAGTTGTGAGACCTACCAGCATGGCTTCCCTTCAGGGAGATGGATGTCAAAAGAAAAAGGAAATCTGAAGTCAGTAGGGTGGGGAAATCCCACACTTTAAATATTTATTCTTTAAAAATGCAAACATGATTGCTATTTTCATGGCCCTACTGGTCTGGAGAGGTGTTCCTCGGTTTCCTGAGTCCCTGCACATCTGCAGTCTGTCCTCCTGGCAGAGAGAAAGATATTTAGGTTCTGGTGATTTCTTTTGCTTGCGGCTATTATTAGATTTGCAATAGACAATATGGGGAGAGCCTACTGGGGTCCCCACAGCATCACTGTTACTCAGAAAGCACTTCCTAGAGAAGGACTGTCACTCATTGTGTTTTCCAGAGGGTTCATCTTAGTTTATTGAGGCCTTGGCATCCAAAGTCTGAGGATTATGGTAATTCTATCAGGCACCTCACCATCCAAATGAACGGCAGTAGGTGTATAACGCGCTGGACCCCTGGGTAGGCCTTAAAGCATTGCTATAGGACCTGAAAACAGAACTCCACAGAAAAGTCATATTTCCCGCAATCAAGCAAACAACCCTGTATTGGCTGGTTTTGTGTGTCAACTTGACACAGGCTAGAGTCATCAGAGGAAGGACCCTCAGTTGAGGAAATGCTTTAATGAGATCAACCTGTAAGGCATTTTTTCAT